AGCCGTAACTTTTATATTTCTTGATGAATTGCTTTGAAACTCAAAATATAAAGATATATTAGTAGTCTAGACAAGATAACACGGTCAAATTAGCGTGAACTCACGCGCATGCACGTGCGCTCTTCTCTGATTGGCTGAAACAAAAATCTCTATATTTTCCTTGTTTTTTGACAAAATACTTTGAAATTTAGAATATAAGTATATGTTATAAGGTGCTACAACATGTTATATAGGAAATTTTTTGAAATCACGCGCATGCAGGTGTGCTGCAATCTGATTGGTTGAAACTTTGAATGTCCATAACTCCCTTGGTTTTCAACAAAACAGGATGAAATTAACGACATGGATAGGCACATAGAGCTCCTACATTATGATGCTATCAAAATTGAATGCAAGGCCATGCATGCGCGTATGCTTAATTCCGATTGGCTAATACTTGAAGGGTTAAATCTCTCTTATTTTTCAATGAAATTCTTTAATATTTAACACAAATGTATGTATTGTGACACACTATAAGAAAATTATTGTGAAAATTGTAGAAAACATGTGCAAGCACATGCGCTGAAATTTGATTGGCTAATACCCATATGGCTATATCGGATTAGTTTTCCAATGAAATACCCTTAAAAATAAAGTGTCCATCTATATAACAAAAGTATTGTCTAATTTATTGAAGCTTGTAGGGAATGGGGCATCATAAGGGATTGGGGAGCCGTTTGGGGAACATCTGTAACGGTTCCCGTTACAATTAGCACTAGTTACTTATTGATATGATAATTTCAAGCAATAACTTAGAAGTCCTTGCAAAAAGGAAGGAGCCAGCTATCCATTTATGTTCACAAAATTATATGATATTTAAGTCAATCCAGTACATTAATTTCTGTTGAGGTATCTCACAAATTGCACCCACTGATTTTGTTCTTTAGCACCATTAAAACTTTCTATACCACAAAAAATGCTATTGCATTCCCTTTCATTTAACATTGGTTAAGTGCTACTCCTAGTATAATGGAGTAATGCTATGAAATAGCTAGGCAACTGGCTATTCCATTCCCAATGTTTTTTTTTTCTCATATTACCTGATAGGAAATGTTTTAGCTGAGATATGAACAATATTTTGGGGATTTATTTCGTACAAAATATACCAATTAGCAGATGCTCCATTGAATTAGAGGAAAAGCAATAATATTCTTTTTTTTCTTTTTTTTTTAAATTGTCATCCATTGTTATTCAAAAATGTTGAATGCCCATTAATACCAAATGCTAACAATACGGATACAGGCAATGAACAAAGTGTAAGAAATAACCATTATTGTAAAATTAGAATTGAAAACTGCAATAAACCGAAATCTCTATTTCATAACACCGTATTCTATTTTGCAATGACAGCATGTTTAGATCAAAAGTTATAAGCGTACCTACTCTTTTAATTTGTATATTTTTAGCCCACAATAATACACAAGGTAAGTTTCTATAGTTTGATTTCTCTGTTGAATGTCGATTTATTACCTTTTTATTTACCTTTTTTTAAAATTTTAATATGAATAAGTTATCAAAACATTCTTTTCTGCTTCCTATTCAGGACCTGGAAGTTCAATACTTGGATAATACATATACTCCTTCTCAAAACCAGATGAACGTAATAGTACGAAATTTGATACTCGTGTACAACAGAAGTATTTTCTCCAACTGTTATTTACTCAACATGAGAATTTGTGAAATACATTTTCAAGTATGGAACATTTTAAATAAATTATAAATAAGTGCTCTTTTACAAATATTCACACATTGACACACTTAATCATATCACATCGATTAACAGTCTAAAGGATCAACCAGTTGGTTTTATAATTGATCCCTATCATTTATCTTTGATTGGGACACCTATAGAGGATATCTGAACAATTTTGGAATGCATTATCTGCATGACTTTAAAATGGCATAGGTATTTTTTAAGTGCACATGGACTTGTAATTTTGCTATGATATCAAGGGTAGCAAAAAAATTACTTGGTAAAAGTGGAGCTCACTAAGAGTTCATCAAGTCTGTTTTTCGTCGTTCAATTTAGCGATGATGTCTGAATGTCTTTAATATTTTTACATAAATTGATGCAATATAAAAAAATTATCAAATGAACATATTTATATGACCCAGTTTAAGAAACATTTCAGATCCTATTATGACTATTGCTAAGATTTTCTCATTTTATTTTTTTCCTTCAAAATCATGTACCAAATCCAAGGCAAGAATGCCATTACACTAGTCTTCGATGATCAAATATAGAAAATTTGTACAAAATTATGATATTCTGTAGTTTCAGTCTGTTCATTTGTTAAACAATCTAGGAATAAGTGTGTGATGCACCTCAGTCCTAAAATATTCATCACAAAGACCATTGTTGTTTTTAATGTAAATTGATACACATGTAGTAGTTTGTGAGGGCATAATTTACCAAGGTGTTCGTTCTATCCATCAAGGATTTTCCGAAGTCAGTGTCTTAAAATGAACAATTTCTTGGTTAGCATTAAAATAAACGATAATTTTTTTTATACAAGACACCTTTCCATGAAATTAGAAAAAAAGGATTTGAGTGTTATATATTGAATTGTTTTAATTTTTTTGTCTTTTGTTTGTTTGTTGTTGTTTTGGTTTGTTTTTTATGTGTGTGTGTGTGTGTGTTTTTTTTTTTTTTTTTTTTTTTTTTTTGGTTGTTGTTGTTTTTTTTTTTTTGGGGGGGGGTTGTTTGTTTGTTTATTCTTTTTTTTTTTGTTTTTGTTTTTTTTTTTTGCAAATGTAACCAAAATAAGATGCATGTATATCTAAATGAATTTGAAGTTTTACTTAAAAATTTTTATGTACATTGGAATGCTCTGCGTATAATTAGAGTTATCGCGCTTGCATTATCCTTGGAAGTTTGTGGCGTGTCCAAATTAGGAGAGGCAAATGCAAGTGATTCTTGGAAATGAAAACATTTAGTAAATGCCCAATGAAAATCATGCGCGGCAAAAATCTGGACCCGGTCGTCCAGATAGCGTCGTTTTTCAGTTTCTTTTAGGACGCCGTGAAAAGTACATGTGTGTTGGATAGCTTCAAATTATTTTAAGCCGCCTCCACCCCGCCACCTTTTCCTTTTAAGAGGAAGTCCAATTCTGTCTATATCTTCTTTGTTTTTGAATTTGTTATAGGTAGTTTTCGGTTTCAGACCACAAGAAGGTTTTATATATTATGTAATCAATTACGCCACATATTAGGTAATCACTGTTTACATATCAATCATATTCATAATTCGACTTCATTCTGTTGTGAATTTTTGATATAGATAATAAGAAGTTAATTAATAATTTTATGGATTTCTTGACCAATTATTACATAATTAATTACAAGTAATTTCTATAATTAAAGTCACATTAGTGGCAAAGTGCAACATACCTAAGTGTTTTGTTGTTTATGAAAATGGAGAGTGAAGGCGGTTTCTCAAAATTCTGCGATAGTACAATAACTGTGAGTTGGGTTCATGACAGTACACGGAAATGTTAAAGAATGAGAAGTTCCACAGATAAGTTATTTTTATCAAACTGAATTTGCATTGGCAATTGTACATAAAGAATATTTAATGAGGAAGTGGAAAATAATTATGTTATTCATTGAAACAATTGAAAGTAGAGATGTTGGAAATTCTGTGGTATATAATCAACTATAAAAAGAAGATCAGGCTGAAAAAGTAATAGTAAGTAAATGTTAAAAAAAAAGAACGAACAAGTGAAATTACATGCAGCTGATTTTTCTCTTAGAAAATGATATTTGCTCAGTACTTATTGTTATGTGATAGTAAATAACACAACATAGTTTAGGAAGTTCGCGATGTTTCTTCTTTTCATTTTCACAAAACGCCAATTACTTACATTATTTACAGGTACTCGTATATGTCTTATTATTTAACCAATAAATTTTAAAAGGATAGACAATCAAATCAACTGTCTTATAACATCCAACGTCTGATGCAATATCAATCTATGTATCAGTGATAAGGAGCAGTTAACCTCAAAACTCCAATGAAACAATATGATATGTGAGCAAAGCAAACAGGGACTTTCGAGAACATCAGAGATGAGTTTATTAGCCATGGAGGAGTAAGCATCCCCTGTCGACTGGTCACACCCAATGTTTGGACTTTGTTACTTAGTTATATGATCATTGTAAATTAGTTGAGAAATTAGCCTAACAATTTGTATGAAAGAATTCAGTTAACAAACGACCTAACAACATATTCTTTTAACATTTAAACAATCAATGTGATGCTGCTGTATTGCTGATAAATTGTATCCTCGACCCTTTTCAATATTCAAATTGCATGCTTAACATATCTTTTTTAAGCAAAAATGTTATTTTATCAATATGATTTCAATCACATTTCGATACTTGGAACAGATTTTTTAAAATAACTTTTTAAGAGCGTCTTCTAATAGTGTAAAATAATGTGCCAATCCTACTTTGTCACCATTGATTAATTAATTATCTTAGATAAATTAAAATTGACCGTCAGCTCAGGACAAGGTCGTTATATATTACATGTGTATATATAACAATAACCAAAATTCTTGAATATTTTGCGTTCATAAATACCAAACAACAATCTTGCAAAAATAAGATTTTATACAGCTAAAACTCCCCTGCTATTCCGCCAAAAAAATTTCACTAGATTTTGAAATTGGTTTTCTACTTCTTTGACAAGGTGTATAATTATAAGGTGTAAAGAAAGATATGATCTTTTAGAATCTTTTAAACATCTCAATATAAAGGCCATTTTATGCAAATGTCTTTTGAATATTTTAATCAGTCAAAAACCTGACAAGAATCAATGTTAAAATCAAAAAAAGTTATCAAAATAAAATTGGTGTAAACACGCAATAATCGTATTTTTTATTTACTTAGAAGTTTAGAAATATAGACCAATCTTTGCCGTCTACATTTTTTTTTTGTTGTTACTGACTTTTGTAAATCTACATATACATCAGCCTAATAGCAGGAGCTTCAAAAGCCTGTTTAGCTTTTTTATTTCTTTTCCGTCTGTTTGCTTCTTCATCTTCGTCGTCATCGCGTTTTGCCAGCAGACACAGGCATTTATTACAGCACGCACCAATGGCTCCAATAATAACTACAGAAACTACACCAATTATTCCATACTCGGTATAGGTAAGCCAGGCTGGTCGTTGTGAATCCTTACTCATCTGCATATCTGTTAATAAAATAATGTGAAAAATGAAATTATTTGAGAAATAAATGTTTCAGTAGGTCACACAAACGGGTCTTATAGGAGATAAGTGACAAAACATTTAATGGTTCCTGCTTACTCATTCAGCAATGAAAAATTAACTGTGAAATCTATGCCACCAAAGAATATTTGTAACATACATATCACTCATCGAAACAAAAAAAAACAAAAGACATTCAATGGAAAAGCATCGAATTACAGTTCCATGAAATGTTTATGGGACACCGTTTATTCAATGAGCTATATCACGTAGTTAAAATAGTTATATCACTGATGCAAAGTTCTATCACCACTCAATTTAGAGATATCATGTGTTTGAATAGGTTATATTTCAACATAGAAGGTTATTGATGCGGTGTATCTGTGAAGTAATTTATAATTCAGTTTTACAGGAAGTCAGTTTTGTTAAAGTTACCGATACTTTCTGATTATTGTTTGTGTACATAGAGACTTTCCTTAATACCTCTTAAATTGCAGAATGTAAATAGTCCTGGGAGCAGTTATTCTTTCAAATAAAGTTTAAATAAGTGATATCACTTTTTCGGATATATCACTTATTCGAATAGTTTTTATTACTAATTCGAATCATCAGTTCAAATGCTGGATAGGCTATTAACCAATTCGAATAGGTGAACTCATTATGTGATAGGTGATATCATTTATTCGAATAGGTGATATCACTTAATAGCGGTAATACCAAAAGGGTCCCACATAAATGTTGATTCAAGACACGATCCCCTCCTGCATATTGTGTGCAAGAGAAGAATTACATAGCTGTTTGCTTTCAGGATTTTATTATTGTTAGCCAGGAATCTTCCAAAACTGAGTATGTGCAGGTCAAATTACTATAATCAGATGAAAACAAAAGGATACAAAAATAGTCAAGCAGCGCTTTTTACGGAAGTTTATGTTAAGAATAAACATGATGTCGTGTTGTGAAGGTCAAGTTAAAATTACACTCACTGGGCCGTGAAACAAAAACAATAAATAAAAAAAATGTGTAACATCCTCATTATTCATATCAGCAACATTCGAAAAGTTTGTTTAAATATTTGCACATATATTTAATATATCATATATGCATATTTTCAGATATTTGCATTCATGAACCAGAAGTTAATTTCCCCTCCCGTTAAATAATTCTAGGCATATTTTTTCAATCCAAAGAAATCGAAAACAAAATGAAAATGACATACCATATATAATTAGACGATTGATAAGCTTTTCTCCACGAATGGAAATAGGGGGGGGGGGGAACGAAATTTTATTAAAACTTCTTTAACATATAAACTTCGAAATATAACATCAGTGATAAAATATTACTTAATGCTTTAAAACAGTCTTCATCTTTTCGCCCGTCTCCATCGTTATCTGCAAATTAAATTCTTTTTCTCATTATAAGTAAAAAAAAAATCAAAACAATTAAGAAAATCAAAGCTCTGATTTCAATTTAATCATCATTCTTCATATTAGAAAAACACGTTTATCTCTGAAAAAATTCTGAGAAAATTAAACTCTGTTTAAATATTTATATTTTTTGACGGAAAAAAAAATAGGAAACTTGTAATTAAGCCTAAAATCTATGCTGAAATTATATGTGAACAAGATATCACGTTGTAGCGTTGCCGTTATAGAAGCTGTTGATTTCAATTGTTTTCACTTAAAGGTTAATATTTAACTTGAAAATATAAAAAAAAAAATGAAACGATTTATTAAGAGTTTTGATAGAAATCAAATTTCTAATCAATCGACATGAAATACTAACAAAAATAAGTATATAATATAAAGTTTTACTATGCTTGAACGATTTACCTTTGAGATCATTACATATCTCCTCATCCACGCGCCCATCACAATCATTATCCACGCCATCCCCAATGTCCATTGCAAGAGGGCGACAATCTTTCTGAAAAGAGAATAAATGAGGTCATAGATGAAAAAAGGAAAAAAAAATATGCAATTTATCAGGGTGTCCATCTGTCGTCACGCGCAAAACCTGAAAAGAAAATAATGTGGAATATTTGCAGATAAAAAAATAATTTAAGTAGCATTCATTTGCTTTTGCGTTATATTACACAAACTTGGTTTTGAATGTGTCTAAAAATAATAAATTATATTCATTTGATACATTCTCGATGGAATGGTTGTTTCTACATCCTTAGCATTAATATAGCTATATATGGAACATAGAATATACTCATACTGTATAAAGCATATGTACATTTTTAAATTAAAAGAAAAACAACAGCAAAACAGAGCAAAACAAAATCAACGATCGTAAAGATGTAGCAGCCACACTTCTACCTTTCGAAAGGTTCACCATGCTCATCAAATAACATCATTACCTAAAACATTCACAGTTTTATTTGAAACTCTTTCACTTAAATTGTTTTATGATCAAAAGCCTGTTCTATGATCAAAAGTCCTATTGGAAAGTTTTATGTGTTTCTTTTTAATATCTTGCATTCTACATACCTCATTTATCGTGGCAAACCTTTGACCAACTGGAAAAGCATATGATTCTGCTTGGATACCACCATATAATATTCCTCCAAATGGTACAACTCTAGATGAATGTTCAATGGTGTGGCTACCAGGTGGTATTTGTATATAACCAGCCGTTAGGTTGTGACTGTGAACAACACCCTTGATGACATTCTGTTTCGGGCCTTTGTTGTCCAGTAATAGTCCATTTTCATAAGAATCCTCAATAAAGAACATGAAAATATTATTAAAACTTAAATTATGAGAAGAAACTGGAGTTAAAAATGAATAGAATATGTTATTTTGTTCTATTGGTGGAATCAATGTCATAGCTGGGTCGCCTTTATGACATCCAGGTTTTGGATGATCTTTATTACATGTTCCACTGGGAACATAGTGTACAGATAAAATTGGCTTGTTTGAAGATACGTAAGAGAAACTTTTCACATGTGTCTCATGAAATTTTCCATTCATAAGGTGAACAGTTTGTTTATTTGTTATGGCGACTGTAGTGTTATCCTCACTCGCCAATAAACGAAGAATGTTTGGATTTGTATCAGGAAATGGATTTATTGCAAAACTTTTCCCCCAAACATTGACAGGTGGTATTTGTTCTTCGATGTGATCCCTTGACCATCCAGTCCCAATTGAAGTTACGGTAGATCCTCCGAAAACGGATATTTTATTCGACGATGAAACAAAAGTACCCGATAAATCAGTGTGACAGAGAAGTTGTAATGTCTCAAATTTGTTTATTGTTATATTTATCCAGTCGTTTCTTTTGTAATGCTTTCCTTCGAGGTGTAAGGTAATGTTATTATTCGAGGGTAGTCTAATATTCAGCATGGTTCCATCCCTTGTTCCGACTATGAGAATTGATGACTGGAAGAAATTCTGTGCATTTGAAGAAAATGTTGGGACGAAATATTTAGTTCCTAAAACATCTGAAGGTATTCCAAGAAAACCATCCGTCGACATGTCTGCCTGATTTATTCCAAAAATAACAATTTCTTGGGATGATAAAACGTAAATAGCTTTCTGTGCACGTTCTGTTCCCTGTAATCTGAGGGTCCTTGGAATTAATATCTGCTTTATTATTCCCCTTTGCACTGTGAATTGGTGACCTGGATAAAGCGTCTTTGCCATTGGAGCCGAAACATTAACACTCACGGGAACATGAGAAGCAGTAGTAATGAATAGTTTTAATGGGAGCCCAGAACGATATCCTGTCAAAGCCTTGTCAGCTTCCATAAAACCAATGAAAAATTCTTTTCCCTGATTATCTGGAATCTCGTTACCTGAAAAGGAAATCAACTTGCAGCAGATGAACTGAAAGGAAATCAAATTTTTATGTATATGTAGTGATGTCTTAAAGACATTCTTCATCAATTTTGTTTATGTAATGTGTAACTATGAAACGGCTTTTAAGGACATTGGCAAGGTTCCTGGTATTCATATAGAATTATTCAAGAACTCTTGAGTAGGTTTAATTGTACTAAACAGGCTATATTCTGGATTGTTTAACCTACCAAGCCAGCCTTCTTTTTTAGATTTTGTCAAATCAGTGTTTTTGCAATTCTCAATGCATTTTCTATGTAAAATGTTGATAAAAGGGAACTACATAATTGTTCACCATAATAATTCTCCAAAACCACTTATTTCATATAGTTTTTGTATTATATACATTATTGTATCTTCATTTCCTATGACTTCTAGATATTTTGGCTGAAAATGTATGTATAGAAACAAGACAAAGACATACCGGCAACATTCTTTATTTTAGAGTTACGTCCCTTAACAGCTATAATTACGTATTATGCATAATGGTTGATTCAGACTGGTTGATTGATTCTATCATGTAATTGACTGAATTGATTGAAAACCATTGTCACATAAAAATATTGGTATGGATTTATTTCAAGTTTTATTCGTAGTTACTAATGTTGCTTCCTTCATATAACCTAGGAACTGATCTCAGTCGGTCTACCTTTCAGCATATGTCACATCTTTGCCCTTCCAAGCATACTGAGCATAACTATGGTAAATGACAATCTCTTGGCTCTTTGTCCCCAGAATACAATTTACAACAAAGCCATTACTACTTTTCTTTCTTGCTGTATAGATGATTCTACCCGTTAAAGGAAACACACGTGCTTCTGTTTTCCTCTGTAAATATACGCTTTATTGGTTTTCACCGCTTAGAGAATTCTACACGGGAGATCACTCTCAATCACTATTTCATAAGTGAAAAAACCCATGCATTAAACCTTTTTCTCTGGAAAACCTTGACTTGCCAATGTCCTTAAAAACCGAGGTCCTGATTATTTATTACGATGAAGAATCCTCACTCCTCAATGGTCCTGAGTATCTAGTAAAGGTCCTAATTTGAAGCCCTTCACCGGCATACGGCGACGTTTCTATATGAGTGAAAATTGTCAAATGGGACGTTAAACAACAACCAATCAATCATGTAACTACTTTGGACTTTAAGATTGTATGTCTGTAATGTAGTGATGTTAACGGTAATGTTTTTAGCCTAAGTGGGAACTAGGTTTCTGTTTAATTTCTTTTACTGCCACAGCCACCCCCCCCCCTCCTTCAAAACTCTTCAATGATAAAATGTTGTTATAGCTAGTTATTAAAAAAAAAAAGCTTACATCACCGATTAAAAAGTTCAAATTTGGTTTCAGTGCATATTGAGCTGTTAAAAATCCTCACCCAAAAAAGTCCTTCTTTGTAATTTAATGTCTCCACAGTCAAATCATTAATACTACCAGCACATCGAATCAATTATGGTAGCATTTAAGACATTCACAGCGAAGTTTTACAACAATCATAAAATTGAATAATCTCAAAACAAAAACATTTCTTATCAGCAAGAGTACACGCATATTAATACCTCACATTCAATTCAAAAACATAAAATATCTTTTCCTAATTTATCTAAAAATATACTAAATGTGTCTAAATATCTGAAGTTATATTATTTTATTCAAAATCAAAAGACGATTTGAATTTATACCCCTATAGTTTAAACATGAAGTAGGATAAATATCACAATATTGCAAGTAAACTGAATATTTTATCATTGTTGTTGCTCGTCAAAATATTTTATAGTAACCATCACCACACTTCAGGCCCTTATCCCAGCACTATGCGCCCATATGATAAAAAAGTAATATAGTAATCACTTTGAAAACTTTGATTTACTTTAGTAGTTTACGATAGTATTATTTTGTTAGAGTTTGAATACCATTTTTATTCACAAGGTTTCAGTTTATATTTTACTATGACATTGTTTTTTCTTGACAAGGCAAATTCAACAGCTACCTTCATTTAATTTAATTTTTATGCATTTATCTATTATAACATTATCTTATTGTAAGGATAACATAAACACGTGCACCATATTTTGTTTATCAAGAGGTTGATATCAAAATATGATGGCACTTTTTTTAACCCTGAGAAAGAAAAAAACTATGACGATAGAGAGACATTGTAATATGAGGTGTAAACAGGGTAGGGCAAATGAATCAGATTGCAGCTGAAAAATTTGAAAATGCCTTAACCCTAAAATGCCATTATGGCATATTATAATTGTCAAGTTTTTCTCCATTTTCGATAAATTAGCACATTTAACATACAAATAAACTATGCTTGTAAAGTAAGATGCTTATTTTAATTTCAATACATACCTGAACATGTCATCAAAGCCATTAACAAAAATTCACACATATTTTTCTTCTTTGTTGTCATTTTTTAACCTAAGCAAAGAGATTTTAATTAAAATATTTCAAAATTATCATGTTTATGTATTTTTAAAATTAACTAAGGAATTATAGTTACAATCCAGATAAATCATTAATATCATTGAAATATCAGCTAAACTGTAAATTTTTTAGTTCAATGTTATATCATTTTGTTAATTAAAACAATTGCTGGAATATAAAACTGTGAATATATGTACCCTCTATATCTTAGCTGAACTCTTCCTCAACTGCCAACCCAGAACTTTGTGCAACACAAACAAAACTTCTGAAGTTTTTAAGAAAAGCGTTATAGGCCAACGGATTAATTTGCAGTTATTTTTTGATAGATTGATCACGTCCTATCTACACTTAGATGAAAGTAGAAAAATTAATCACCACAGTAAGATTTTGGTGTTAATACTTTAAACGAATCGATCTTGCTAATATTTTTATCACTAATCTTTTACTGAGAAATATACCTATATAAAATTGTTTAGATGTATAGCTTAAATTCCATGTATCAAACATTTTACCCGAAATACTTAATTCTTTATTTTTCTGTCAGAAGACAATATCAAAGATTTGGTCTTTTTAACGATGCCTGTCATTAGTTTATGTCAGGGAACTGTTGTTGATGTGACACTACTGGAATTTGTATTCTTCAGAGCCTCTACATAAACAAGGGTCTTCAGTGCGTACGGATGCACTTGTATTTTTTAGATACCGGCCTTAAACATATTTCATTTCGTAGGGCTGGTAATTAGTAATTGCAACACAAGCTTATTTGGTGTGTTAAGGTCGATCCATTACTTTTCCTATTTCTACTGAAATACATGTCTTCCTTCGAAAAATATTTCACAGACACTTTTAATTATTCCATTGACCTTGTTGCCAAATGGTGCTATCTGACAAAAGTCATTTCATAAATTTATTTTTTTTTTTTATTTATATCTAATCTTTTAGAATCATTATGTCAATTTCAGAAACTTTTAAGGTTAAAAAGGAATGTCAAGTTGTTGAGATAAAGATAGGATTGTCTGATTTATTCAGTGAGCTAGAGATTAAAGGGGCTTGGAAACAGTTGCATTGCCGTTTTGTTTACAATTGTAATTTTCTATTTTTATTCAAAAAATAAAGTTAGTTTAATGAACTGAACTTACATGAAAATTCTTAAAATTCATTGACCAGGATATTATTTATTAAATTGCGTCAAACAACTATATTTGTAAACATTGACATGAGTTCTGTTAATGTTTACTTTTTAAAGGGTGTGTTCAATTTGTTAACTATACACACATCACTGAACATGAACTGACAATACTTGTGTGTTGGATTTGCTTTCTCACATTCCAAATCTAAAATTTCTGGATTATAGATTTAGTTTCTTTAATTTCTTTCATTAATGCACAATAAATTTCCCACTTTTCTTATATGTTAAGGATAAATTCGAATTTATGAAAGTACAAGGATATGTGTCAATCAAACGCGTACCGAAATTCGTAATTTTAAATTACAAGTTTCCAAACACGTTTTCATACTATATAGGTCTGAAATGCTCTATAGCTAGCATGTAATTCATAATATTATGCCGAAAATTTTAGAAAATATTATGAAAAAATCTCTGTGTCCAGGCCCCTTTAAAACAAATTAAGAGAAATTCTTGAAAATCGGGGAATTAGACTACAAAGGCATTACATTCACTTCACCTGTTTTCTAAGGAATGCAAAACTATATGTCCAATATGGGACATTGCTTTGTTACAATGTTGTTTGTTGTAGAGATTTAGGATGAAGGGCAAGAAATGTTTCTTGATAAAATTTCGTTCTTGTATACGATTTTCTTCTAAGATTTTCTTCAATGATCATTAAGGGTGTTCTTCCATGTAGAGTGACACCTCTAAATAATTACGCTATCTCAACCACAGAGATGTCTGTAAAGGGTTCTCCCAATGATACTTTCGATAATAATATCGTCTTTGTAATAATATCGTTTTTGTTTGTAAGGCTCATTATTAAAACTGTATTTTAGAAAAACTTGGTTTTAATTGTACGTTCTGAAAATCCAACTTGTACTCAAAGTTCATTTTGAAATTCTTCAAAATCACATTTCAGTGTTTAATACTTTTAACATTCAAGTCAACCAAGATGGATTCGATCTACCCTACCTCTATTGGATTACTAGACTTCATAAAAGTCCTTACAAAGATACATTGCCCGGGTCTAGCAAATGCTCTACCAGCCCCCATCTTTACTCCTTACAAAAATATTAACTGTGCTACAGAATATTCTTATGGAGGGTAATCGTGTTCAAAAATCCAGACTTGTAAGTTTGTAAATCCGAACGTGCAATCGTATCAGTTCAATAGTCTACATATGTGAGTAGGTAATTCCGACATCCTAGCATGTAGTTCCGAACATATAACTGTGTTGACTTTAAGTTTATACTATGAATGTGTGTATCTTTTATGTTGTAAACTTTGTTTTCCGGTATCTATATCGCCGCGCTCTAAATAAAACACGAAGACAATTTACAAGTCTACAAATGTAAAGTCAACACATT